TTTCTTTGACTTGTAGGAAACCTTTTCTGTGGGTTATTTTTTTTTTGGTCTTTGGTCATTTTTGCTATTTGGAGTTCAGTGTACTCTTGAAATTTACTGCAGGAAGCATAACTGCCCCTCAGGGACTATTCTAGTGTTCTGCAAAGATCTTTAAGAAACAGGCTTTGTTTTAAAGCCATCGACTACCAGTAAAATTTTAAAATATTTTCACCACAATATTTAGAATACAGATTCATTTCATGGTTCTAACTACTACCAGATTGCCAATCTTGGTTTGTGTTTGGAGAAATTTTTAGATAGAAATAAATGCAACCAGACCTACATACCTTTTTATTAACACTCAGCTACCACATGTTTATCAGCAATACTGGCAGCCCCTGGATCTTGGTCTGTAGGAGAGGGAGGGTTCCAGGGGGAAAAACAGCCAAAGATTTTGTTGGAGGGTATATTTCTCAGGACAGGCAAGATCATACTGCAGTAACAAATAACCCTCAAATCTCAGTGGCTTAAAACAACAAGGTTTAGTTCTCATTCACACTGTCAGTCCGTTGAGGCGTGGCTGGCGGCTCCATTCTGGCTCATCTTCATTCCGCATCCCAGCTGATAGAGCAATCATTATTTTGAATTTTGCTGGTTATGGTAACAGAGTTCTGAAGCGTCTCGCACCAGCCACAGTGACACACACCTGGAAGTGACCCACACCATTTCCATTCACAACTCACTGAAATATTTGCCCAGCAGCACTGATGACTAGCACACTTTGCTCTTGTGATTACCAGACTTTTGGCTCACTTTCCCCGTCGCAGGTGAAATACACTCATCCCCTCCCCAAAGGAGCCAACCCCAAAGTCCCACCCAGTCCCAGCATCTGGATGATGCACAGTTGGCACTAAGTTAGGGGGTGTTTCAAAGTCGTTTCAACATGAACTCTAGATGTGGGTCCTTTTTTTTTAAAAAAAAAGGTTAGCCATGAGCAATATCTGCTGCCAATCCTCCTCTTTTTTTGCTCAGGAAGACTGGCCCTGAGCTAACATCCGTGCCCATCTTCCTCTACTTTGTATGTGGGACGCCTACCACAGCATGGCTTGCCAAGCGGTGCCATGTCCAGACCCAGATCCGAACCAGCAAACCCTGGGCCGCCGAAGTGGAACGTGCACACTTAACAGCTGTGCCACTGGGCCGGCCCCTCAATGTGGGTCCTCTTGATCTAGTGATTTCTGAACTGAAGAGGCAAGTTACCTGGTATTGACCCCCCCCACCTTCCACATTGTATGTTAATATATAATGGTGAAACAAAGATTGGAAAACCCAGTATACACTCCTATTCAGAAGGGGTGTGAATAGGAGACACCATTCACGGGTCCTCAGTCATTCTAAAATGCTGAAGCGGTTCTGAGATCCCTCTGGACTCCCTGACTTGTAGATGGAGAATGCTCCTTTGGGGTCCTAATTCTTCTCTCTGGGAGGGCCTTCCCAGTGCGTTGTTCTCTTCAGCTGTTGGCTTTTTCCAACAGCCTCCTGGATCACATCTGAAGTGAGCACTGAAGAATGTGCCCTCCATAGGAGCTGAGCAGCTTTCTCAGCTGCTTCCTAACTTTAGAGGGTTGGGGACTCAAGAGTTCTTCTAGGTCTTAAAGTTTCCCCAGCCTTTTTAGGTTCATGCTCCTGGTTTCTTGGGCAGTACAACTCTTTTCAAAAGGAAATAGGTTTCTTATCTGTTTAACTCCAGTTTATTGCCATACGCCAATCAATCAAGCCCTCAGTTTTTGACATACTTATAATCACTGTGTAATGAATGTGTTTCGGCTTCCATGTCTTTCTTTATTGACTTAATTGACGATACTTTGAACCTGTTAGGCTTTGGTGGGGAAGCCTTTTTCCCTGAGCCGTTCTAATTGAAAGAATTAAATAAGAAGCCACAACCTTAACTGCATCTTTACTTGGAGACATCTTAACCCTTTCTAAGTGTTAAGAGTGGGTGTGTTAGCCAGTCTCTCTTCCTTTGAACCTCACCCCAAAGCTAAGCTCTCATTGACCTTTTTCATGCAAAGACTTTCTCAGTTTTTTCTTTACCTTTTGGGGAAGAGAAGCAGCTGCTTTTCCAACCCTGCAAGTCTGACTTGATGGACTCTATTCCCTTTCCTTTTTCTTTGTAAACCAGCCAATTACTTTCTGAGACTATCTCTCCCTCTCTTTTTTTGGTCACACCATTTAAAATGCAGCCAACAGTAGCCAACAGAAACCAACACATGCTACTAACATTTGACTTTCAACCTTTTTGATGAGAGCTACTGATTCTTTGGGTTTATTATCTGCCTTCCAAGTTATCATACATGATAGTTTCACCAAATGCATTGCTGGCCTCCAAAATCCATTTCCTCACTCCCTGCTGCCTGGCCTCTAAGCCAATGCCACAAATATTTTTTTGCTGTTAAAGCAGCACTCCACTTCAAGTAGCAGCCAGAATAGGCCAGGTTCTGTTGTAGTAACAATTCCCAAATCTCAGTGGTTTAAAGAAAAAAGGTTTATTTCATGCTCATGCTGTATGTGCATTAAGGATTGGCTGTGTCCTCACTCCAGGACCTGGGCTGACAGAGCAGCCACTATCGGGAATGCTCCCCATGCCTGTGGGAGAGCTCTGGAAATTCTTGTGCCTCTAACTAAATGGTCTGACCTGGAATTAACAAGCTACACATCACTTCTGCTCACCATTAAAGCAGTGTTCTTTCATTGTTTTTGAGCTCTATCCATCTTGAGACATAGAAATCTAGTTAATTCTCCTAGCTATATAGTATTCCATCATATAAGTATATCACATTTTATTTACATATTGATGGACAGCTAGATTGTTACCAGTTTTTCGTTACTACAAATTGCTGCAGTGAACATCTTTGTGTATTTCTCTTAGTGCACATGTGCAAGAATTTCATTAGGAAATAGTTCCTTTTATTCTTTGGAATATGCTGAGAGAAGATGCACCAAAAGTCAACCACTTACCTATAGCACCTTCTTTTATGAACATCACTTTCTGGTTTATGCACACCTCACTATGGTAGAAACCATTTTGAATGAGATCAGTTAACTTGTTTGCAGAAGTCGTCTTGTGCAGTTTGAATAGAGTCTCCTGCTGAGCATCCTTGATGAAAATTCTAGAAATTTTTTTTTTAAATGACAGACACCTGGTTTGAGAAGGAGGAATAAAGGGTGAATGCAAATGTTCTATGTCTAGAACCAGCATCACTTCTGGCAAGCACAGAATAGACTCTTCTTATCACCAGTTCAGCGGAATTTATCAAAATATCTGGACATCCTGGATTAAAGAGGATGTGAGCCGTGGGTGATAGCTGCATTGGGATTCCTTGCTTCCCCTTCTCTCTCCATCTACAGCTTATGTATGGGAAGCATAGGTATAAGTAGACTTTGGTATCAGGAAGATGAATAAAACTGTACATTTAAAATATGATAGTGTCCTGTAAAAGCATTAAAATGTGAAAAGAAGAGCATTCAATTTTTCGCAAAGGTAAGAAATGAATGTGGGTTAGTGAAAGCAATTTCTATTGCCATTTAAACTAATACAGTACTCCAATCCTTAGTATCTGTTTTTCACCTTAACTAAAATCGCAGATAAAACGTTTAACTGAATTTTCAAAACTCTATCCCTTTTTCCACTGTTTTGTTGAGTTGCCAACAAAAGGTTTGAAATGGCTCAAAAATGAGCAGGAGGTGAGGAAAGAAGAAGAAGCCAGCATTCTAAATAACCTATAAAATGTTTATGTGTCCCCTGTTACATTTTTCAGAGACCTCTTTGCAGTTCCATGTACTTACCAATATCCAACCAAATAAAAAGCCATGTAGGGACTCTTCGTCTCAGAGAGCTGGTGACAGCTGTGGCTGGGTGAATATTGGATTTCTGATGCAGAACTAGATTGTTTTCTGGATTTCACACAGGTTGTACTGTCCATTCTGTGCTGAGATGTGTCCTGTTTTCCATTATCACTGAATTCTTATTTTTTTACTTCTGCGTATACTGAAAGTGCTAAGTGTAGAATTTTCTCCATCGCCTCTCCTGATCTCTAGCCTCTACCCACAACCTGCTCATCCTGCCAGCCCCTAACATGATTAATCCTAACAGGATTAACAACCTGGAGGGCCAGCCTTCTGTACCCTTCTGCAGGCTCATGTAATCATAATCATGTAGGAGTCTTCCTTCTGCCTGCCTGCCTTCCTCCCTCCCTCCCTCCTTCCCTTCTCTTCATCCTCCCTTCCTTTCTCCTTTTCTTCCTCTTTTCCTCCCTCCCTTCCTCCCCTCCTTTTTTTCCAAAGCGAAAAGAGCAAATAAATTATTTACACTTCTAGGCATCTTTTGCTTTTCTCATTAACAGAAGATTGAGGATATCTCTCCAGGCCACTGATATAGCTCTCATTCATTCTTTCAATGGCTACCCAGTATCCCATGGTTTGGAAATCATACACTTTATTAAACAGTCTCCTGTTAAAGGGCACACACTTTGTTTCTAGTTTAGTTGAGTTTTGTTTTAATTTGGCCACTCTAAAGGGTGCTGCAGTCAACATTCTATACCTATCCTCCAACACTGGTGCTTTTTTTATATGGTCCAGGAGAAAGGTTAGCTGGGTTAAAAATGTATGTGTACTTTTAATTTTAATAGATGTTGCCAGAGTCTTGCCAAAATAGTCATCCTAGCAATGTTCCAGAATACCCTTCCCCCATCCCATCCAGTAGTGGGTCTCTTCCCTACTTGGATAAGAATGGATTGTAACTACAACAGTGACTGCATAACCCAGACACCTGTTGATATGCGGTGGCGTATTTCAGTGGTGTTTAAAACTAGGGCTCTGGTCAGCCTATATGATTGGGGGTGGTTGTGATTTTTTGTATTTCTTAAAGAATCCATAGAAAGTTTATAGTAGGGAGGAGACTGGAGACCATTCTAATGCAAGCCACTCCTTTCACAGGTACTGGCATTGAGACCCAGAGAGGTGGAGGGAGTTGTAACAGTGAGCTAGTTACTGGCTGCTGCTTCAGGCAGCAGTTGTTCTGAATCCTGACCTGGGAGTTTACGTCTTACCCACACTGTGGGCCATGCTGGCAGTGAATTTTAGAGAATGGGCCAAGAAATGTCATCTGTGAGCTGAATTTATTAGTAGGGATGAGCTGTTTCCTGCTGGGACAAGCAAACTTCCCAACCTATACTGGGCTGTGTGGCATTTGCTTTGCAAACTTCCACCAAGATGATAGGACATTGGTTAACTTGATCTTGTCAATGGAATTGACTCCTCTTAATCTTTTTGGGAGTTTGGGATTTCATTTTTCCATACTGTTAGAATTACTGCTTACCAAATGTGGAGCAGCTGGCTTGGATCACAGCTAAAATGACAACAGTGAAGCACAGGAGAGAAGATTCTGTGTACAGGGCTCCTCCCGTGTCCCCCTCCCTCCTTCCTCCCCAACATGCCCATCTGGGGAGCTAAGTAGTAGGACTGCCTAGAAGAAAGAACTTCTGTAGGTCCCACTTGCATTCCTGGCAGTGTAATTAATCTCTGGGTATGATATGCACAATTTGACCAGGGCGCAGGTGGATGTTCTCTAGGGCTTAATAAAATAAGCTTTTTGAAAGAAGTCACTTTAGCTCCCTGAGTCTTTAAACTCAGTTTTAGTATCAGTTTCAGATTTAGCCCATGGAGTCTGCTGAGGGAGATGAAAAGGGAGAGTCTAAATTTTGGACTCCCATTAGGTTTGCTCTGTGTTCCTTGCAGAGCGTTTTACAGCACAGCATTAAATTTCCACGTTGCCTCTAAATAAAATCAGCCCATTCAGGGAGCTCAGCTCGTTCTCTTTTAATAACAATAAAAATACTTATGATGGAGATTCATTTTATCATAGATAAACATCTTCAGTAGATTTTATACACACACACACAGACACATACACACACATCTAAAGGCATGTCTTTGTGTGCAGACCTGATCAAGAGCTGTGCTTGTTTGTGGGCTTGCCTGTCAGTAGCCATGGTTCTTCTGGTTTAGTAGTTGCCAAGCCTGCAGATTGGAAGTACTGGGGAGTTTTTAAAAAATGCCCAGTTCCCACCCCTGAATTAAGTCAGAATCTGTGGGAGAGGAGACCAGAAATTGGAATGTTAAAAGACAATTCTAACACTCAGTTGGGTTGAGGACTTTTGGGCTGGCTATTTGAGATGGAAAGAGTGTCTCTGCTTAATGAAGAAAGAAATGAGATGTAACACCAGCTGTTTTGTTTTTAGAATTCTGCCACCAAGGAGTCATCATGTCGTGCCCATCATCTCTCATAGCCCCCTTTCTCTTCCTTTCTCCTCCCTATTCTGTAGATTAACAGTGGAGTTACATCTTATAAAGTCAGCTCATGGAGGCAAACATTGAATACTGTAAAAATTATTGTTGAAAAGTGCCCTGGGAAGACACTGTGAGGCTTAGAGAGACCAACACACCATCTCTCAGTACATGTAGCATAGCCAGTTTTTCCTCTGGCATTGGAACAAAGCACTGTTTCTTTGGGTGAGTTTCTGGTAAAATAAGTAGCATTTGGGAGCCACAGTGTATGCAAAATATGTATCTTTAAGTATTGGAATTGCACTCTCCACAGTGAAATTGTCAAGCCCTGAGAAGCACATGGGAGCTGCAGAATCCTATTTCTCATCTCGTAATTCTGAGGCAGGCTCTAATTGAGTGGAGTGTGGGCAGAATCATGGGCACCGTTTAAATTGTGAATTTCTCCTTGCCTGTCTTCTTTTAGGCACATATAGTAAATTGAATATTAAATGCACATATAGATGTGACACTACTGCTTTTCATTATTAAATATTCAAAATCGAACATTTCTTTGAATGTGCAGAATTCATCGGCACTCTGTCTTTCTGTCCTCTAGCATTCCCGTGGTTTGGCATGGATATCGGTGGAACGCTGGTTAAATTGGTTTACTTTGAACCGAAGGATATTACAGCTGAAGAGGAACAAGAGGAAGTGGAGAACCTGAAGAGCATCAGGAAGTATTTGACTTCTAATACTGCTTATGGGAAAACCGGGATCCGAGATGTCCACCTGGAACTGAAAAACTTGACCATGTGTGGGCGCAAAGGGAACCTGCACTTCATCCGCTTTCCCAGCTGTGCTATGCACAGGTTCATTCAGATGGGCAGCGAGAAGAACTTCTCCAGCCTTCACACCACTCTCTGTGCCACAGGAGGCGGGGCTTTCAAGTTCGAAGAGGACTTCAGAATGGTACGTTGGGTTTGTTCTCGTTAAAACGACAAAACCTTCCCTTAGAGAAAGAAAGAAAACCTCCCACATGTCCGTAATCATGGCTTCTCATGGCAAAGAACTAGACTACTAGCCTTAGAACTTTGGACAAGTTTACTTCACTTCTCTGTGCCTCAGTTTCCTCATCTATAGGAGAATAAAAGTAGTTCCTACCTCATTGGGTTGTTACAGAAAGGATTAAATGAGATAATATGTCCCTGGCACTTCATAAATGCTTAATAGATATTAGCTATCATCATCATTTTTGGTACAATTACTGCTGTGCAGTATGCTGAAGACAAGACGATATAAACCCCGTTCTGAAGTATTTCAGTTAGACTTTTCCACAGACTCTTACTACACTATCATATAAAGCATAATCATGCCAGTTTTATAGATACACAGACTGAGGCCTGCAGGAAAGCCTTTCTATAAATCCTACTGAAAATGATTACTTCTGTCTACCCATTTACTCCAAGTATCTTTTCTGAATATCATTCAGAAGTTTAGCTCACAAACTAAAATGAAATCTTGGGTATTATTTATAGGTGAATTCCTTTATGAATGAATATGACTTAGGAATTATGGTTCTACATAATAAGAATAATGCTGTATCCTGACCGGCAATACGTACCAGCTCTGTGTTGCTTGTTTAGATTTGACCAATTGGGCTAAATGGAAGATATTGATGAGTAACATGGAGTCCAGAGTTTTTCTTTATTTAGCAATGCCTTAACACCCATGTGTTCCAATTTCCTCATCTTCTACAGTCAAAATCATCTCTCTACTGTCCAGCCTCATCTCACAGGGAACAAAATGAAAATAAAGTGACATAATAGATGGAGAAAATAAAGGCAGCTAGATTAACAGAAGTGACTGAACATAGGAGAAGGAAGGGTTGGAAGATTTGGGGATTAGTCTTGCCAGGTCGTTGAACATACAGTGAGGTAAGTTGTAAAGTGCATTTTCTCCGAGCCTAGAGTGCAAATTACTGGCATTTTGTAATGGAGCTAATGTAATCCAGTCTTGCCATAAAGTCTACCATTAATGAATAAATTAGTAAATCAACGCATTATTCATGATATTTAATAAAGCTGTAAATGCAAGTTTTATTTGTATCATCAAAAGTAGCATCATTTATCTCATTGATTGTAGTAAGTAATTTCTGCAAGAGCTGACAACAGAGTCCTAGAGCAGTATCTAAGTGAGACCAATTATATTCAAGTTTTGGCTTTCTCTTCTGTGTCCCCTTTCCCTCTCCAGCAGCAGAATTTGACACCACCACTTACTTAAACAATCCATGGGAGCTTTTTCCCACCAAAGGGGACCCAATGATCAAAGAGTTTTGAAACCGAGAAGGTTGAGGTCCAGGGTCATGAAAATTACCTTTGAGTCTATAATTGAAAAAGCACTGAACCTGAATTCTAGTCCCGTTTCTGCATTTAGGTGGGTGACTTTGGCCGAGACACAGGGCCCTCCTGTGGGCCTCAGTTTCATCATCTGCAAAAAATTGGGCGTAAGTTGGAGAGAGGAGAAAGGATGTCTAGGACATCAGAACTGGAAGTGACCTTTGGAGAACAGGAAGTATAGCATTCCTGTGCTACATGGTCAAGGAAACTAAAGCTAAAGAGAGATTGACAGGCTCTCGCGGTTCTTCCTGGGTAAGAGCTAGGGCATCGGCTCAATTCTGATTCAGAAGGAAATGCTGACCCACCCCTAGTGCTGTGAGCTCCCCAGGTCACTCAAGGACGCCCTGTCTGGCCGTCTCCACTAGGGAGCCTGAAGTGAACCTACAACCTAGGGCATTTATGTAACCTCCATTAATGGCTCTGTCCCTCCTCTGAGATAATCCAGGTTGGGGAGAAAGTTATTCAATATATGTTGGCCGTAAGCAAGTATGTTTCTCAAGGTTCTGAACTGAGAACGGTTGTGTCTTGTTACAACCAAGATAAAGAAGCCTCTGCTCCTTCAGGTAGGCTGCCAGAACCTAATGAATATCCCTAAACAGGGAGGAAGTCAAGAGTGTTTGCGAAATGGCCTGGAATATTTGCACAGCAGTCATATATGGGCTGCCTTCTGTTTCCAGGCTCAGTCTTGGCCAAAGTGGAGACAGAATTGAAGAAGACAGAGGTCTTCCTATGGCCTGTTTGGAAGTAATGTGCCCTCATCCTTCCAAAGTTCATGAGGATGAATAGGTTTGATCATCCTCTTTCCTAAGCACTCATTCACTCACTCAACTAGTATTTATCGTGCTCTTTCTATGTGCCAAGTACTGTTGTGAGCAAAACAAAGCTCCTGCGCCCTGGAGCTTATATTCCAGTGCAGGGAGACAGTCGGTAATCAGTTACGCAAGTGAACATAGAACATGCCATTTAGGACATACCAAATGGCGATGACTGGGAAAAAAGTGGGACAAGGGGGATACGGAGTGTTGGGAGGGTCTTTGTGTGATAAGGTAACATTGGAGCAGGGACCAGAAGAAGTAATAGAGCAAACCCTGCTGGTATCCAGGGAAGAGTTTTTAGGCAGACGGAATGGTAAGTGCTAAAGCTCGTAGACGTACTATATCCAAGCTCTTCCCTTTTCCAGAATAGGAAATGGAAAGCGCTTACTTACTTGTAAAGAATCAATATATACTGCTGTATATGTTAGACAATAGAGCAGTGCCTATACATACCTGTAAAGTCCTGTCATTGTTATTGTATAAAATCAGTGTTTTTGGTCTGCTACAACTTTACAGATAAGTGTTTTAAAAATCTGAGTAATTAGGGCTAACTAAAATATGTTCAGCAGACCCTGAATAGTTAGTAATTGTTGTTTGATGACTATATCTTTTCTATTTATAGTAAATGTACTTAAATCCTTAGAAACTGTTAACTATTCTTCATCCAATTTAGAATGTATAAGAAAGAGCTAGAAACTATGAGACAAGCATTAAATTAGACCGCTGTGTAGAATACTTCCAACTGAACAAAGCTACGTTTGTTTCTTCTTTTTCTCTTTCCATTTTTCCCTTCCTTCCTTTTCTTCTTCCTTCCTCGTTTCCTGTCTTCCTTATTCTTTTAACACTTTAGGATCACTATCAAAAAATTTCTGACTGGCAGAAATTAGCCTGCAAAATTAATGATTGACAAAATGGAACACAAAAGAAAAACTTAATCTAACTAAAAGTGGTCTAAAAATTGATGAGCAAGTGAGGAATCCCACCATTTGAAAAAAATGGTCCTCAAGAGGAAGACTCCCAGTAGCTGTGCACCGGGACCCTTAACGCTGTAGGTTTCAGTTGACTTTTTTTTTTTTCCCCACTGTCTATATTCTGTGGGTTTTGTTTTAAAGAACCTACCAGGATATTTTATGATGTAATTCTAATATTTTTATCCACAACTACACTTCCTAACTTCAACAAGAGTACGCTTTAGAATTCAAAGTATTCTACCAATAGAAAGTTTATAGAAAAAAAGTCATCCTTTCTGTCCACTTAGCTCTTCATTAGAAAAGATACTTTCCCTTGTCAGTTTTGTTCAGTCCAAGACTAATGCTAATTAGAAGTTAGAAGTGACTCTTTTAGTTACTTAAAAAAAACAAAGACCTACCCTTTGAACAAACAGGATTATAACAACAATCTTATTTGGTTGACATGAGATTTAGGTAACAGAAAAGGATTTTGTGATTGCTTCATTATATTTTTTTTCAAGGTGTGAGGACTTAAGAATTGGCCTTCCTTAAGTCAGAAATCTCCAAGGAAACAACTAAAAAAGTTAATGATGATGGAAAAATCATCGGGGTCGGGGGTAGGGTAATTGTAGATATGTGAAATTCTAAATCTAAGTGGACCATTCAAGAATATTTGTTACCTTGGTTCCTATTGTTAATCCGGGGACTGATTTGTGATATTGCAGGAGTATAAGGTTTGGCAGATAGTGTCATTCTCCACTTTGTTCTGGCTTAACACTTTTGATCCCTCATGTATGGCCCCTTTTATCATTGAATGTGGGGCGGAAGAAGCTGTCTTTGAGGTTTTGTTATCTTTCTCACTCCCAGAACATGTTTGAAATTCATCTCTCTCTCAGGTCTCTGTTAATTCTCCTTTGTGAAGAGAAAAGAGCCCTGAGTGTTATTTTTTATTCAGAATCAACCATTTTATATGCAGATTGTTCTTGGTTTAGTAAGATAACCTTTTCTGTCACTTCCAATTTGATTTATGGAGCCACTGTCTGCAAAGCACCTTGAGAAGTGGAAGGTATCTTACAGATGTGTATTTTATTCATTTCTGAAATACAATTCGGTGATTCATTTCTCAACTGCAAGGGAGTGTTATAACTGGTTAGGGGTAGGTCCATAGAGTATTCCCATAGGGAGTAGGTATGGAACCTCTTGGGATGGTTTTTACCACATTTATTTATTTAGCTATTTAGTTATTTTTGACAGACAGAGCTGAAGCACATAAGGAGAGCCTCTTAAAATTGTATCCTGAGTGTGCCTTATGTTTAGGACCCATAATATTTTCTAATTTTAGCATAAAGGGAATCACTGAACTCTAAAAATTAGAATCTTCAGTTTGGAAATGGTGTTTCCAAATGCATTTCAACTTGACATAAGAAGACCTGAATCATTTTACTTCTCACATAATTATAACTCATGTATATAGTACTTTACAGTTTCCAAAGCATTTTCACACAGCTGTCTCATTTGATTCTTGAAAACAGCCCTGCGAGTTAGCTCGGGCAGCTGCTATTACGGAGAGTATGTGACTTTATCAAACACCTGTTATTATTGTACTGGCGTGTGTAATGGGCTCATCCCAGCTCTTCAGCTCCAAAATCTGTGTGGTCCCAAGACCAACAGCATCAGCATCACCTGGAATATTGTTAGAATTGCAGTCAGAAACTCTGGGAGTGAGGCCCAGCACTGTGGAATTTAACAAACCCTCCAGGTGATTTTGAGAACCCCGCTGTGCCCGTACTTGCTTGGGTGACTTTGGTTACTAGGCAAAACAATGTCAGTTCATCCTAGGTGTAGTTTGAAAGTTTTTTCTGCTTTATTTCTTCCCCTACTCGCTAGCCTTGGGATCCAGAGTGGATCCCTTAACCTGCTCTGCTGACCCCTAGTGATATATTTCATCTTCAAAATGGGTGATGATAATAGCTTCCTAGCCTAAAGTACTACAGATGAAATCTATACAATTTTATATTAGCTTCCATTATTTACAGAGTTTAAGCCTTAGGGCAAGCTTAGGTTTGTTGTTTTTAAGTTTGAGGAGTGGTCTAAACTTAGCTTTAATGATTTAGGAATTGACGGAACTCATACTCTCCAAGAAGGTGCTGAGGAGAGTTACAAGCAGTGGGGTGCTGAAGTCAGCTCCTACGACTTAAGGGAGCCCATTATGTGCCTGTCTTCTCAACTCTGTGGTTAGCGACACCATGTTGGTAGCTTGACATTGGCCATGGTGGGGGTGATTATACCACGGAAACTGGTAAATGCTATAAACCAAGGCTTTTGCTCCCCGAGAGCCAGTTGTTAAAACATTTACCAGCACACCTTAGTTACCAGGTTATGTTACATTAGCTGAAACCTCATCTACATATTTGCTGATCTGATATTTCAGAGGTGTCATCATTTAAGGCCGATTATAGAGATCAGCATTGGAATATACGTAAAATTAGTAAGATGGAAGTCCGATTCAGGCCACAGATGTGTTTTGTTGGCCTTCAATATTTTTAGTAAAAAGTTTTTAAAGTAGCTGCCAGCATCTAAAAATTGGAAGATTTCACATAAAATCTGGATTTCTGGCCTTGAAAAGTAGGATCATCTGACAACACTGAGGCCCTATTACCACATGGCAACATTGGACTGCAGGTGAATTTTAAATGTGTGGGTTATCTTGTGTGCCACAATCCCCATCATCCTGTTACTTTACATCTGGTCAAGGGCTTCCCTCCTTTTTGTTTTCTTACTGTCTCCTGTAGGCATTTGTGTTTGTTACCCCTGAGATAAAGAAAATGAAGCTCAGAGAAGGAGTGGTTCTCCGAAGCTGGGATCTGAACATGCTGTTTCAGGCTTTGCACAAAGTTAATTCAATTGTCCGAGTGAACTGCAAAATCTGAGGAGTAATTCCCATCGTGTTCTGAATTTCAGATGGCCTGTTGGAAAGTCCAAGTAATGATCTGACACATTGCTTACTCTTGGGCATCTGTCCTGTTTCCTGGGTGGCGAGGACTTGTGAGGGAGGTCTCTGTAGGTCTCAATGAAAGTGGCTGATATTTCTGTTTCCCAGTTTGGGGATGCATGACCTCAGGCTTCAGAAATATCCATTCCTCTCAAATGGGTAGAAGAGATGTTTGCTTGCTGCTAGCACTTTCTTTGAAATAGTTTTTGAGGGGAAAGGTGAGAACATGATGTTTCTTTTCAGGTCAAAGTTGTACGTGCTGAGTTTATCTGCCTTGACAGGTTTTTCTTTTCCTGGAGCATAGCTTCAGGATATCCAGGTGGACAAACCGTGTCTCTGTCTGTGTTTGTGATGTTGGTTCCTGGAAAGGGCTGTCAATATTGTAGATGGACTTCTGATTAATTTTTAAGCAAGTTAACCTATGGTCCCAAGACTGGCTGATGAAATTGCTACTTCTCAGTTTGGGGTGAACCGGGAGGTGATAACTTTCCCAGCTGCATTTAACAAATGTTTATTAAGCATTACGGACAAGGCTTTGAGTGTGGTGGTCAGGGGCGCCTAATGAAGCAGAAAACAAGCCAGAACGTGACCAGTGCTGTAAGTGCAATGGAAGAGGTTACTAGGGCCAAGGAATCGGAGAGGACTGAGAAGATGGCATTTATACTGCTGTTTCTCACTATAGTCTTTTAGGTCTCCAGATAGTTTTATAACTATAGTATTACCCCCTTAAAACGTGTATAATTACATGCATCTCACCCAAAAGTTTCACTTGATAAAAAGTGAAGCGTTTGGAATCATAAACGAGATAGATTTACTTTATTACCAAATGTCACTTAGAATAATTGTTTCTGTGTATCAAGAAAACTTCTCCCACCTTGCTGTGGCCGAACCTATTCTAGTTAATTCTGCCCTGTGGGTATAGCTTCAGTGGATTTTATTGAATGGGAAATTCAGATGAGTGATACAAAGTCAAAAGTTTTCTTCTAGCTGTTAACTTTTGTAATGAAGAGGATGCCTTTTTGGCAAAATATCTGAGTATAGGACTTGCATAGGTTGTTTCCAGATCCCAGAAGTAGTACCCAGGATGAATGGAGACAAGGGAAGAACAGTGAGTCAATGGGAGCTATTTGCTAGTTGTATCACTTGGGGAAAGTTACTTAAGCTCTATGAGCCGTAACCAAAGGATAAGAATAATAATACCTACTTCTAGGGTTTTTGTGAGAATTAAATAATTTAGTACAAGTGCTTGGTGTGTAGTAAACAATAAATATGAGCTATTATTTTCTTAAAGAGATTTTTTAAAACTTTAAGTTAGATCTTACAAATTATCTTCCTTCCTTGGTTCAGTTTCATGTTGGTGATTGTTAGATTTTTTTTTTTGTCCATGGAAAATAAGCATCCACCCAAACCTCTGGACCAGCAATAATATCACTCTTGAGGACCATGAATTAAACTTTTAAGGATGCAAAGTGGCCACTCACCTCTAAGTCTAGCCCACAGCTAACTCTTTACATTTTTCCTCCTGTACCTAAGAGAGTGGGAGTTTTTGTCTCATGGGAGCGTGAAAGGACACTTTGGTGCCACCTTAGCTATTATTTAAAGAGCCAACATTTTTTGAGCCCTTTGTACATACCAAGCCCTGTGTAAGCATTTACATATATCATTATCAAGTAATCTTCACAACAACACTGTGTAGTGGATGTTATTATTCCCATTTTACAGATGAGGAAACTGAGGCTTGAGAAGTTTAGTAACTTGCCCCACATCCCTCAGCTGAGTAAGTGTTAGAGCTAGAATTCAAAGCCAGGTCTGTTGAATTCCAAAGCCCAAGCCTGGGAAAAGGGGAGTTGGGCTTTGTGTCCCCAGCTCCCAAGCTCACCTTGCCTCCCTCAGGATCTCATGTCCTGCCAAGGAAGTGCAGGATTCGTGCTGCTTTCAGAACATTCTCACTCTCCTCACCCTGAGGGAGAACCCTGGTCTCAGTGGCGTGCTGTATTAGTTTCCTGTGGCTGCTTTAAAAATTACCACAAACTTGGTGGCATAAAGCAACAGAAATTTATGCAGTCATAGTGCTGGAGGCCAGAAGTCCAAACTCAAGGTGTTAGCAGAACCACGTCCTTCAGAGGCTCTCGGGCAGAGTCCATTCCTTGCCTCCTCCAGCTTCTGATGGCTGTTGGCATGCCTTGGCCTGTGTTGCAGCACTCCAGTCTCTGCCTTCGTCTTCCCGTGGCCTTGTCCTCTGTATCTATCAAATTTTTCCTCTGTGTCCCATATAAGGAAACTTGTCATTGGACTTAGGGCCCATCCAGATAATCCAAGATGTTCTCTTCATCTCAACATCCTCAGTTACATCTGCAAAGACCCTTTTTCCAAATAAAGTAACATTCACAAAATTTCACTCTGAAAATTAGGTCATGGACATATCTTTCAGGGGCCACCATTCAACCCACTATGCACACTAATGGATGCTCTTCCAGCAACCAGGCAAACTCCCATTCTTTAGCACACATGTGGGCAGACAGATGTCCCAAAGGCTAGTTTACCACTGGAGGGACTGATTTTCAACAAGATTTCACAACTTGGTGTTTCAAGGATGTTTCCACACTGTTAACATTAATGTCACATTTTAAGTCCTGCTAGAAGCCTGTGGGGCTTCCCCTGAGGTGGTTGCAGCCTTTCTCACAAAGTTTTGTTCTCTTTCAGATTGCTGACCTACAGCTCCACAAACTGGATGAACTGGACTGCCTGATTCAGGGCCTGCTTTACGTTGACTCGGTCGGCTTCAATGGCAAGCCGGAATGTTACTATTTTGAAAATCCCACAAATCCTGAATTGTGTCAAAAAAAGCCGTACTGCCTTGATAACCCATACCCTATGTTGCTGGTGAACATGGGCTCAGGTGTGAGCATTCTAGCAGTGTACTCCAAGGACAACTACAAAAGAGTTACAGGGACCAGGTAAACACGGTTTCCGCTAGGAGAACCTTTTTGTACTTAAACCCAGGCCTCTTCCTTGAAGACCAGTTTATTAAAAGTTTATTTATATTGAATACATTTTTAAAGAAAGATCTTAACCTCCTCAGCCAACCAAAAAGAATTTATTGGATATGTTAAAGAGGGTGATTTATATAAATGTTAATAAAACACAGGCTTTGCCCTGCTGGAAACTGGTCGAGTTGGGGGAAGAAAGGTTGCACACATTAGAAGTTTTCCCAAAAGGCAGTACACGTTAAGGGTCAAATGAATGGCAAGGACAATAGAAACACAATCGAATCTAGATGGAGGGATGCTTGGGATGGTCAGAGAGGTCCTCAACAGAAACCACCTTTTGGAACCAACTTGGTGCCTAGCACAGGATGAATTGCTTGAAATAATACATCATTCCAACCAGTAAACCAAACTGGGTTTACAAAGAATGCTTTTTACCCCCAGGTAAATGCTCCAGCTGAAAACTGGAATAGTTAGCACACCTCATAGGGAATTTTGGAGTGCACCGGACTGGAAAACAGCCCTGCCACACAACTAGGCAGAGCGACTTGTGTTTTAGTGCACACGGCAAGGGCAGATGGGCTCAGCTTCCTGTTAATGGGGATTCAACACGGGAAAAGGATCCCGGGTCAGAAATCTTTGAGAAATTCTAGCGTAAACAAAATTAAACAGATTTTCTTTACTTCTAAGAGAAGGATTTGGTATGAGGTGTTTCTCCAATTTATTGAACTACAGAACCCATTTTTGGAGGAACAATTTAAGGAACTAGTGCCATGTGGAATGTTCTTTGCCCCATGGTATTGAAACCATTGTTTTTGATAGGTGAAGATATCATGTAACTTCTCTGGGCCTCGGTATCCTTGTTTGTGCCATGAAAGGGTTTGTTTCTTAGGTAGTTTCTACAAGCTTTTCCAGGACTGAAATTCTGCAGTACTACTGACCCATTAGGAAAAAAGCATTGCTTTTCTACTGTCTTTCCATGACTTGTGATGAGTCTGCATAAATCAGTGGTTTACCACTGGGGAAGGGAAGATTTAACTCCCTAGGGGATTTTGGCAATGTCTGGAGACATTTTTTTGGTTGTCACAACTGGAAGTGGGGTGCTACTGGCATCTAGTGACCAGAGGTTAGGGATACTGCTAAATATCCTACAGTATATAGGGCAGTTTCCCACCACAAAAAAGTATTGAGCCCCAAAGGTCAGTAGTCCTGGTGTTGAGAAACCCTGGCATCCACACACACATTCTGACTGAATCCTGCTTGTGTCCAGGATATAGGCTTTCATGTGTACTTTGGTTGCCACTAGGCATACATTTCCTCACTGAGAATACACAACCAAGCTTAGTTGCTTACACAAGAATCACAACTGACCCCATGGCCTCATGAGGACTGTCAGGAGTATCAGAGACACGTGAATATTTCAGCTGAGCTGATTCTGCCTTGGAGAGTGATCTCCTGATAAACGTACAATTTTTAAGAAACTACAGACTTCCTTGCAGAGAGAGCAATTGACCTGGTAGAGCTAGTCCCAAGGTAACAACAAGCTAACTATTTTCCACAATTAGAGATATTTATAATTTTGTTGGTTAACACTTAACAAATTCATGAATTACATCACAATTACACTTTCTCAAACTTGGTGGTTCCAGGGATCTGGGTCATCCTCTTAAATAGCTATTAATGAGCTAATTATGGTGTTTGGCTTCTATTACATGTGTAATAATGCCTCTGAATTCCAGTTATTGGTAAATGCCCACTAATGACTTCTGCTTTACAATCACCCACAAATCCTGTCTGGATGTCCAAGCTTCTCTATAGGTTCTCTTCAACCAGTAGTTCTGGAAATGTGCTCCAGGAGACTGAAGGTTAATAGAGAGCTCTTTCAGGGGCTGCCACAGGTAGAGGAGGGAGTTGAAACATCAATTCTGTGGGCCCCAGAGCCTCCTTGTCCAACCAGAGTTGTTCTGCCAAAGTTTTCTTTTGTTCCAAGTTAGAAAACCACTGATATAAACTATTCTGGTCAACAGTGAACGTCAGCGTGTGGAACATACTTTGGGAATCATTGATCTAAGCAAATGGCTTACGCTTTAAGTTTTGCTACTCCTATTGTGAATTGATGGCTGTAACCCCGGTTTTTTTGTTATTGTATCAGACCCTATTTTCTCATTAAGCTTTTTTATTTTTAGGAAGCCACATCATTACAGGATACCAGTTTTCTTTTAAATATATGATTTTAATTGCTTCATTTCAGGATTATGTATCATTTTATTACATCCTAGGTTAGGTAGCAACATTTTTTTTTTTCTATTGACACAACTCCAATTTTATTATAGAAGTCAATGAAAAAACAAACTAGGACTTTACAGCTGACATCGTTAGAAGGTGTAGTCTATTAAAAGAGAAATGTAAAGAATTTTGAAACTTCGGGGAAAAGAGCAGTACCCCTCATCTCATTGTTTTGGAATCTATTTTAAGCACACAAGCACTCAGTAACTGAAGCTTTCTTCCACTTCTCCCTAGAATTCCTCACTTCAAAGTTGTTGGTTTTTTAAAAAAAAAAAAAATGATATTCAATGGCTGTTTCTAGCAATATGTTTATGTCTCTGATTTACTGAGGGTCTTACTGTGTGTCTGCTGAAACAAACAGATGTATCTGATTATGAGCCAGAGAAACACTTGACAAAATAACAGTTAGCAGGTTGAGGATATTAATAAAGTGCTCTTTTGCGACTGTGCATTCTTTCCTCCTGTCTGCAGTGCACCAGTTGTGCAAATGCATGCTCGCTTTCCCCATTCAGCTCTGATTCTTCGTCTGGAGTCACCTGTCATTTTCCAGTCATGCAAAGCACTTGTCCTTTTTCACTCATACCAACACATCAGTCAAGTTGCCTTCTTTCTAAGTAAGCCAATGACTTCAGTTGCCTGTGTTTGAATGCCTTGATTAGTACAAATGCTTGATGTTCAAAGAGAGGTAATTAGTGTGGTTAAAAGATAGAAGCTAGAAATGTGAGTAAATACTTTTTAAAAATATACAGAGAGAAAACAAGACAAATCCAGGTGGCATACAAACCAAAAAGTGTTCCCCTTAAAACATACTAGCTTTGTAGGGTAGACTGAAACCAATAACATAGCATGACACACCACATTAAATGTAAATAAAGATAAACTCTTAGAGGAAATCCAGAGTTTCTACTGTGACAGAGCTGTCAAGGCAATGATGTCCACGGAGCTCTTTATTTCCTCACAGTCCTGCACCTACAGTTTGGGTATCTGCTGCTGGTGGTGCCTGGCTACATAATTCTCCATGAGAACCTATAATTTCAATGAAGTATGTATTTTTTCAAGAATCACAGCTTAAGAAATATTACATACAGTTTCACTTTAGATGCAGTTTAAAGACTATGTGCCTGTCTATAATCTGGTACCTTCTTGTTAATGGTTATTAAGTATACTTACCCTAAATTTTCTTTTTTCAAATTTAAGTTTAAAATAACCTTAATCAACTTGAATTTTCTCTTGGAATTAAAAGCCAGTGCCCACACTCATATATGAGTCCCAGGGCTAGCCGCTCTTGGGGCTTCCGAACAAATCAGTGAGAGCCATTTACTCTCCACATGTGCTCTTCTGCATGGTAGATACGAGTGGAACCATGCCACTCTCACTGCCCCTGTCCCTGCCAGGACTTCACTGGTGGAAGCTTTACTCTGAATCTGTTTTTCTTTCCCTCAGGTGTCTTTGATATTAATATACGAGTTCATTCTCAACCAACATAATTAGTTTCTAATTTTGTCAAAAAGACTATTTTAGAGGAATTTCCCTCAAAGTAACTGAAAGCTTTTAAAACATAGTTCGAGCGTTGGAACCATTTTTTTTTTTTTTTTTTTTTTTTTTTTTTTTTTACTATTTTTGACTATTGGGTGGTAAGTAAAGTATTAATAACCCTTCCCAGAGTTTACTAGAAAAAAACCAATATGTGAGCCATCAGTGGTTTCCTTTTAGAAATTTCTGAGGAGGTTAAATGAGATTATTTCTGCTAGAGAAGCAAGATAAGGTGAAAGATAACAGCTTTTGGGCTGACCATTCCTGGCAGAGTCCTAGGTCAGCTTTGTCGTCACAGAGATATGAATTATGCTTCATGTACACGCAGTTTCTTTTTCTAAGAATTTGTATTCAGCTACATTTTTTTTTAACATAGCAGTCATTTCTCTGATTATTTACTGCTTTCAGACTGCCCAAATAAGAGAAATCATGATTTGGCTCCATGTTATAGATGGGAAGACTAAATGAAACACTTAGGTTAGTGGCTAGTTGAAGGTCTCACAACAGAAATCAGTGAGAGTCTTTCTCTGGTTCTGTTCTTAACTGTAGGGGCAAGCTTTCCTTGATGTTTTGTCTTAGTCTCTGCCCTCTTTTTCATCCAATCTACCCTACAGCTGTTTTGCACCCTAGCACTTTAATTCAAATACCCCTTTGTTTCTCTTCTGTTTTGATTAACCCATATTAGTGGACTTGATTTAGTTGGGGACTTGGATGAGCATTTCTTAAAGTAAAATTTAAAAATAAACCTTATTGTTCCTTCAGTCTTGGAGGTGGAACATTCCTAGGCCTATGTTGCTTGCTGACTGGTTGTGAGACCTTTGAAGAAGCTCTGGAAATGGCAGCTAAAGGCGACAGCACCAATGTTGATAAGCTGGTGAAGGACATTTACGGAGGAGACTATGAACGATTTGGCCTTCAAGGATCTGCTGTAGCATCAAGGTAGAGAATAAGTAGCTAGGAGTAGTAGTGATTCAACACAAGGCAGCCTCTCCACCCTGGCCATTCATTTAGTTATTTCTAAAAATGTCAACCCACCAGCCTGGTGCAAGTAACTATGGTATCAGAGCTCCGACTCCATCTCCTGCCCTTTATGAAGCAATGAGATGTTTAGCTCTTGAAGCTTGTGTTTAAAATAGGGCAGCTTTGAAAGAAGGTTCTGGAAAACTGCAACAGTTTCCCCCGTTCCATTCTTGTCCAGATAGCTAGAGGCATTAAAAAAATTTTTCCCCATCAATAGCCATGCTATTTTGTCCCTTTTAAGAAAAGGGCAGCCAACCATCCATATTGTAATCCTGTCTGCTTATACATCATGGTAGCCAAATCAGGTCATTTGAGTTTTAACAGAGTTATTCATAAAGCCTTCCACAGTACTTTGGTGGAAGCGTGGGGTCTGCCTGAGGATGATTTTGAACACTTTCGCTAATATTTCCAACATAGCTTTGGCAACATGATGAGTAAGGAAAAGCGAGATTCCATCAGCAAGGAAGACCTCGCACGAGCCACACTGGTCACCATCACCAACAACATTGGCTCCATTGCTCGGATGTGTGCATTGAATGAGGTAAGGCCTTAACTCAGGGAAAGCCCTGTGTCATTCATACATACCTTCTTTGGCAACGCAGTAACCATTGACCCTTACAAAACTACAGATCCTTGGGAAACCGTCCCTTCATCGTAGTCACAGCTTGTAGAATGTGGGGGAGGGGGAGGGGTATGTGTTTATTTTTAAGTAGGCACTGGATGATGACAAATGATAAACCATGGAGCCATAGAAACAAGGTAAAATTATAACCCATGCCATAGTCTCTCTAAGCATCATTGTTACCATGCGCCTACTAAAGTAGAGGAAAAGCTTTGTACATTCTTGCAAATAATTGCAGGTAAAGTGTTCCACTTGAACTATTCGATATTCTCTCTGCTTTCAGCTTCTTTACAGTGTTGCCTTGTGGCATGGAGTTCAAGCAGCATTGTACAGGGCTATCAAAGCACAGAGACCTTGCTACAGCTGAGGCCAGCCAGGGCCCCAGGCATAAGAAGGGGTGGAGCTGGTGACTGACAAAGCTTTGTTACACATTTCAAAACATTGCAAAATTCCTTTGGAAAAAATGGAACCCTTATCTGAAATACAAGATATGTAAAGTCAAACAGCTGTCACTGAGTTAGGAAGACAAGAAAGAGGGTCTGGGACGTGGAAAAAGTAATAGGAGAAGTATTAATCATAGCATCACTAATAGGGTTTTTTTAAATATAATTTTCATAGCAATATGGCATACATGTAGAAGAGGGCTCAAATTATAAATGTATAGCCAAGAGTTTTCATACACACACCTGTATAGCCACCACTCAGATCAAGAAACAGAACATTACGGGTACTGCAGAAATCCCGCCCAGCCCCCTGCTAGCTGAATATTGAGATGTTAAGCAGGGTATGAGGCAGTCTTTATGGTAGATGGGTGCCAGCCCTGCCTTTGAGCTGTGGGATTACAAGAGAGCCACCCTTCTTTCATGATATTAAATAGAGTATGTCACTGGTCTGTGCTTCAGGGTGGTAACCTTTTGTAAGTCCCCATTTAAGACGGAGTTTACATGTGGGGCTGATATTAGATGAAAGAATGTATTCCAGAGAAGGGCCTTTTCAAAGTCCGCTTTGGTCCTGGGACTTGCTATAACAGAGGATTTCTCTTTCGACATTAACCTTTAAAGGGAGTTTTTCCAAGTAGCCAAAGAAGCCCTGAGACAAACATGCATGTAGTTGGCTGGACTCATGGACTCTCAAAGGGCGGTTCAGTGGGAACACCTCCTGCCCAACAGAGCAATAGATGCCCTTTCCCTTGCTTTCCACAGAGCTTGAGTGAGCCAGCAGTTCTTTTTACCTGTCTCGTAATCACTATAGGGAAAGGCAACTGATTTTTTTCACTTTTGATTTCAATTTCAATACCATTTATTGTTGGAGCATAGCAAAGTGGCTATTTGAAAGGGTAGTCATGTCACCTGCTAGTGTGAATAACTGTTTTAGATGTTTCTGTGGAGTGGAATGAACGAGGGGAATCACGGATCGCCTTGGGCAAGGGCTCCATTAGCTGGCATCCTGCCAGCGCAGCCTCCCTGTGGACGCACCAGGAACCGGCAGCGTCAAGTTCCCTGTCAGACCCGTGACGCAGGTTCTCCAGTCATTGCTTTGCTCCCTGACCCAGTGATCGGAGAACCTTTGATTCCAGCCATTTCATAGAGGGACACCACATTTACTGAATCTGAAATATTTTTGCTGTGATTACTGAAATGCTATGAAATGTTTCTCAATCAACTTAAAAATTTTTAATTCATTTTTTTGAATAGAAAATACAAACACATAATACAGAGTTTTAAAGACACCAGAAGATGTACAGGGAAGTGAGTCTGCTTTTCTACCTCTGATCCTCAATTTCACCTCACTAGAGGTAGCCATTGTTTTTAGGTTTTTTGCATTTGTTCTATACTGTATGCAATATAAGATAAACACATCCTTCCCAAGGCAGCAAACTCTATATAACATTCTTTTTTTTAACAACAGTTTTATTGAGATACAATCACATACCATACAATTCATCCTTTGCATGCTATTCTACATCTTGCCTTGGTTGTTTATCAACTTTATATTGTCAAAATTGGTAAACATACATATAAGGGAGAGAATAGTATAAAAAAACCTCCATATATCCACCAACCCAGACTCAACAGGTATCAAGATTTTCCACACATGCTTTATCTCTGTTTTTTTCTTCATCATCCCTCTGCTCCTCTCTCCTCCTCCCCCCTCCTCCTCCTCCTTCTCTCTTTTTGCTAAAATATTGGAAAGCAAATCCCAGACATGATATCAGTCCACCTTACATACTTCAATATGCACTTCTGGAAATACTGCTTCTTGCTTTTTTACATGATAATACATCTGAGTGTTATACCTTTTCTACCTCAACATTATTTTCAGAGAGAATTCTCCCATGTTTGCCTCTAGTCTCTTTCCTTCTTTTTTTTTTTTTTTTTTTTTTTTACATTTGTACCTTTGACCCACTTGGAATTTATTTGAAAGAAGGAATGTCCATAAGCTCTTAATGCCACTTCTATTCCTTCTGGCTTTGTACCAGAGTAATTCAGACTCCCTTGTTTTGGGGGGAAGGCGAAACTCCTGAATTTTATTAAATTCCTCTTTAATCTGAGATTCTTATTTTGAGTGTTCCTTGCCACCCCTCAGTCTGAGTAGTTGTGGCTAACAGTTCTTATTTGTGGAAACTTATTGAAACCACCAGCCAGCCCCTGTGGTCTAATGGTTAAGATTCAGGCTCTCATCCCCACAGCCTAGATTGTTTCCTGGTCAGGGAACCACACGACCGGTCTGTCAGTGGTCATATTGTGGCAGCTGCACGTTGCTGTGCTGCTGAAAGCTAAGCCACTGGTATTTCATATACCAGCATGGTCACCCATGGTGGACAGGCTTTAGCAGAGCTTTCAGACTAAGACAGACTAGGAAGAAGGACCTGGCCCCCCACTTCCTAAAAAATTAGCCATGAAAACCTTATGAATGGCTCAGAGCATTGTCTGATACAGCACCGGAAGGTGAGAGTATGGCGCCAACCCTGCCGTGCTGTACACAGGGTCACTAGGAGTCGGAATCAACTTGTGGGCACTGACAGCAACAAATTAAAACCACCTGCCACCCCTCCACTGGTAGAAAATTTTCACAGTGGTTACTCATCAACTTGCATTGTTAAAACTTGAGCCAGTTAAAAGGCGATGTTCCCAGGCTCTGATTGCTATTGATAGACTGTTCAGAAAATAATGCCAGCTTCCAAGACTCTCTTCCCTTTGCTATGAGTGACCATAGCAACTTGCTCTGTGAGTGAGTGAGGGGTGAGCAGCCTCTGCATGGTAGAGGAGCTGAGCTCCATGTGAAGTGTATGTTCAGAATGCAAGTCAATGTCCTTGAGAAGAAAAATATAAATGTATTTTTTGTTACCCTATTTTAACCCACATGTTGACTAAATGGGATATTCCACCATATATCCTAAGGGTAGAAGCTGGATGGTGTTCCTTTTTGTATTCCCAGTGTTTGGCACTGAGCTAACTTGGGAGATGAATAACCTATACCATGGCCTTTTATTTATGAGTTGGTTATGATAAGATTTTATCATTAGAAGTTTGATGGATTGAAGGAAAGCACAAACAAATGTAGCTAAACTTGAACTCCAGTTACAATTTTAGATGTGTGTTGGCAGCTGAATTACTTATCAGGACTAAGGCAACCTAATGTAATACCTGCAGAGAAGGCCAGTATCAGTCTCTGCCTTGCCCAACAAAAGTCTTACCCTCTTGTTCTTGTGCAGTGCACTCTGATGTTTGTTCAACTTCATCTTGAAATGCTGAAATAATTCTACTTAAAAAAAAATTTACTTTGCAAAGTCCTGGGAGTACAATGACGTATGGAACATTGGGTCTTTGCTAAATGCTATTTTTGTGCCATGGTTTAATTGTTTTCCTGTAATTTTTTTTTCCAGAATATTGATAGAGTTGTGTTTGTTGGGAATTTTCTCAGAATCAATATGGTTTCCATGAAGCTGCTAGCATATGCCATGGATTTTTGGTCCAAAGGACAGCTAAAAGCTCTGTTTTTGGAACATGAGGTAGGTTGAGTCTGTGTGGACTTAATTGTCGTAAGTGGAGTGGTTTTGTTTGTCTAACATGAATGCGTCCCTTAGTTTGCATTTACGCAAAGGGTAAGGAAGAGCTATATATAAAATGGAAGCTCTCTTATCCAATAATCAGGACTGGTTGCTGGTTAATCAAAAAAAAAATCAGTTAAAATGGGTAATCATTAAAAAATATCTCCCTACTTTAGCCATTTTATTTTAACGTAATATGTATAAATGCTCATTCACTCACCAATTTTTTGATGTAGGACCAACACTTGTTTTGGAGCCTGGGTTCTGCTGATTGCAGCTGTGCAATTGTCCTTTTTTTCCTAATCCACAAATTTTATGCAGCTTCTTTGATTTCTGGTTGTCTTGATCCTTTATTAAAGTGGATCAAGAAATTAAAGATACTTAAGAAGCAATTTGGTTGCAGAATCCTAAATTTTTGCCTCAGTCTTTCATGTGTGGGATCCACCTAAATGGAGAGCAATGGTTTGCAACCACTTTTTTTAATCTTTTTTTTGTTTTTTTTAAAGATTTTATCTTTTCCTTTTTTCTCCCCATAGCCCTCCGGTACATAGTTGTGTATTTTTAGCTGTGGGTCCTTCTAGTTGTGGCATGTGGGACGCTGCCTCAGCATGGCTTGATGAGCGGTGCCATGTCCACGCCCAGGATTCGAACCAGCGAAACCCTGGGCTGCCCAGGCAGAGTACGCGAACTTAACCACTCAGCCACGGGGCGGCCCCTAATATTTGTTTCATTTTATTTTCCAGTTTTATTGAGATATAATTGACATGCAACATTGTATAAGTTTAAGGTGTACAACATAATGATTTGATATATGTGTACACAGTTGTCTCTCAGTATCTGCAGGGGATTTGTTCTAGGATCCCCACAGATACCAAAATCCAAGGATGCTCAAGTCCCTTATATAAAATGGTATAGTATTTGTGTATAACCTACCATATCCTCCGTATACTTTGTCATCTCTAGATTACTTATAATACCTAGTAAAATGTAAATGCTATGTAAATTGTTGTTATAATGTATTATTTAGGGAATAACAACAAGAAAGAAAAGTCTGTACATGTTCAGTAAAGATGAAACCATCATAGGCCTTTCCATCTACATGATTGAATCTGCAGATATGGAACCCATGGATGTGGGGGACTGACTATATTTCAAAATGATTACCACAAACCCTGGGCCACCGAAGCAGAGCGCATAAACTTAACCACTCGGCCATGGGGCTGGCCCTGTTTTTCATTCTCAGTCTGGCTTATTTTGCTTTACATCATACCCTCAAGGTCCATCCATGTTGTTGGGAATGGGACGATTTTGTCATTTTTTATGGCTGAGTAGTATTCCGTTGTATATATATATATATATATATATATATATATATATACCATGTCGTCTTTATCTAATCATCAGTCATTGGGCACTTGGGTTGCATCCATGTCTTGGCTTTTGTGAATAATGCTGCAATGAACATAGGGGTGCATAAGTCTCTCTGAATTGTTGATTTCAAGTTCTTGGGATAGATACCCAGTAGTGGAATGGCTGGGTCATATGGTAGTTCTATTTTTAGTTTTTTGAGAAATCTCCATACTGTTTTCCATAGTGGCTGCACCAGTTTACATTCGCACTAGCAGTGTATGAGGGTTGCCTTTTCTCCACAACCTCTCCAAAATTTGTTGTTTTTTGTCTTGGTTATTATAGCCATTCTAAAGGATGTAAGGTGATATCTTAGTGTAGTTTTGATTTGCATTTCCCTGATGATCAGTGATGTTGTGCATCTTTTCATGCGCCTATTGGCCATCTGTATATCTTCCTTGGAGAAATGTCTGTTCATATCCTCTGCCCATTTTTTGATCAGGTTGTTTTATTTTTTGTTGTTCAGTTGTGTGCATTCTTTACATAGTATGGAGCTTAACCCCTTGTCAGATATATGATTTGCAAATATTTTTTCCCAGTGGGTAGGTTGTCTTTCATTTCAATCCTGGTTTCCCTTGCCTTGTAGAAGCTCTTTAGTCTGATGGAGTCTGATGAAGTCCCACTTGTTTATTTTTTCTTTTATTTCCCTTGTCCAAGAAGACATGGTGTTGATGAGAACTTTTAAGATTTACTCTCCTAGCAACTTTTGGTATTGACCTTTTTCAAGAATTTAACTGGATTTTCATAGAAGTGACCATTCATTTTGTACTCTTTTTATTGGTTTAGGTGGTATCTAATTATATTAGATTATAACATTAACAATAGAACTATCATAAGTAAATCTGAAGATAAACACAGCTGACTCTTGGCACATAAACACCTCGACTTGTGTGAACAGAAGAGCTTGGGCTACTAAGAGTTGCCTGGTGGCCTTGAGAGGCTGGTGTGCCTGGACATCAGCCAGCCTGCTTACACAGGAAATGGAGAGTATTGGGTAATTCAGAGAGTCCCTTATGTGGAGTTTCTATGATAATATAAATCAGAGGTTTCTAAGAGCAAGTTAGGGGGGCCCTCCGTTTTTCTAACCTCCTTTTTCATTCCCTTTAAAATCAGTCCTATAGAGAGCAACTATTTATCACAGGAGGTTCCTAAATCCCTTCAGTATTTTGCAGCAGAAAAAACGTGGAGAGAACGAGAATGATAAATTTGTAACGAATAACTACTGTGGCATTTTTCTCATCTCCAAATTGAATTATTTATTTGAAAAGTCGCTGATGCACTTATAAGTTATTTTGAGCTCTCCAAGCCCATATTTTGTTTTATTAAAGCATAGAAAGCAACAGAAATTTAAATACTAAATAGTTAAGGCTGAATAATAGAAATTAACACTAAAGAAAGCCTAAAAAAATCTTTTTTGCTTATTTATCGTTTCCACATAAGATTTTGTTTGAAAGAGAAAAAAGCACCTCAGCTTTAAAAAATTAATTAAAATGAAAAAGAAAACCACTCTTCTAATCCAGCTGGGGTTGCCATATTTAGCAATTAAAAATACAGGACACTCAGGTATTTTATCTCACATTTATCCATATTTTTATCCAGCATCTCTAAGTCCAGATCCTCTTGGACTAATGCAGAAAACAGAGACTGGAAGCTGTCAGGGTTTAAAACCATCTACAAGGTCATGTGGGTAGTTAGTTGGTGGTACGGTAGGGAATATTTTGGGGAAACTCACTTCTGTAGGTAAAAATGCAGTCACCTGTGTGACTTTGTACAATCCCAGGCCTCTGAGGACTTGGGCTTTGGTTTGTCACTAAGTATCATAACTCAGTCTCTATGGCCAATGCAAGTAGAGGGTTTTTATAACCCCTTATAGGTATTTCTCAGAAAATTCTCTACATTCGTAAGTTCGCTCTGGCTTAGACAGGCCTTACTGGAGGATACTGTGGAGAGAGAACTGTCAGGAGGTGCTGGTATGGTGGCTTTCCTGCCCTGCCTCAGGAGTCCTCACTCACGGTCTTTCATTCATTCAGTGCATATTAGTTGCACGTCTCCGAAGAGAAGTGGTCCAGCCGAGCAATTGAGAGCGCAGCCTCGTACTGACTGGGAGACCTTAGATCTTGTCCCTACCCCTCCATCTCTGTTTTAGCGTTTGTAAAATGGGATGATAATAGAATTTGTCTCATAAAGTTCTTGTGAAGATTAAATGAGTAAATCCATGTAAAGTGCCTAGAATAACTTCCAGCATATAGTGAGCCCTCAATAAATGTTAGCTGGCTGCAGCAAAGATCCTGCTATGTAGCATCCTGACATTTTGCCACCCATTTCTGCAGTAACTGTTGGAGTCAGGCAAAGACAGAGGAGTGGTCTCCTGCCTTTTGGAAGCCAGGTTCTCTAAAAATGCTTACTTTTCAGTTCCTTTCCTTTTCCCAAAAACGTGGGCTTTTCTTTTACAGATGAGCAGAGTGAAGCTCGGGTTGCTTTAGATGCCTTTCCAAGCTTAGAGTTCTTTCCTGTGAGACACTACAGCTTTGAAGTGAGACAGATTTGAAGGCAAGCCTTGGCACAAGTCATGTGACCCTGAAAGGGTCATTTACTTTATCACCTTCCATTTCTCACCTGTGAAATGGGGGTAATATGAATTTTGCCATGGCAAGGATTACAATAAAATAATTTTAATGCTAATAATACCCAGCGCTTATATAGCACACACTGTGTGCTAGATGTGAGTTAGCTTACTTAATAGATATAAACAAGTGGATGTCCAATAAATTTTATTATTATTATTATTCCACCGTGTTTCATGGCAGAGTTCAGGTTTTAAATTTCTTTTCTCTACATTAGAGGGCAGCATTTCTAGAATTATTAAAAACATTAGGAACTTGGATAAGGTTCAGAGATAACTGTACAGAAGTGTTCCCATTGCTTTGGCAGGGTTATTTTGGAGCTGTTGGGGCACTGCTGGAACTGTTCAAAATGACTGATGACCAGTAGAGATGAGCAGTCGACGAAGAAGAGCCTTCCATGAGAACAGGTCCCTGAGAACTGCTGCTGGAGAAGGTGAAAGCCGCTGTGGATGGAAGCCAAGCCATTATGGCAGATGACCCTGCTGGATTTGTAAATAATTGAAAATCCTTCTAGTTGATCTTTTACTCTTGGGGTTTGAGCTTATGATTCAAAACGGGGAATACAGGAATTTTTTCTGTATACTGTATTTTTTAAAAAAAACACTTGTGCAGCGTGGCCAAACTTACCAATTGTATGCATTAACTTTGAAAAGTTGTATGATGTTTAAGAAGGACCTGAAGTGTAAGTGCTGTTTATTTTTCTTCTGGGGTTTACTGATCAGCGTGGTAATTTTAACTTCATTTAGTAATTACTCTAGGAGATTTGACCTTTACTTATATTTTTCATGACGTTTCATGATTTGCTGTTGGTTTCAAATGAAACTACAAATCTGGCATGTTTTACTGTGAACACTATTTTGTTTGTTTGTTTACCTTTTTTCATCCTGTTTTTTCTGTTCAAATGTCTTATGGAAAGAGAGAGTCCTTCCCGCTGTTTCTGTCTTCGGACGACTCCCCCTCCCCTCCAATACCTTTCTTTAATGTAATTGTTCACGTTAATCAAGGTGCTGACCAATTCAATATAAAGTTAAGCATGAGATCTAAAGCTCTCCAAAGTTCCCTTGAAGAGAAAAACTCTGAAAGAGTTCATGAATTTAATGAGTCTGGCAAAGGTTGAAAATTATATGCAATTTAGTCTTATCCCTTATGAATATACAGTGGGGTGGGTTTTTTTGGATTTATTTTATATTAGGTTATATTAAATTGAAGTGTTCCAGGATGAAATGTCCTCATCCGTGCACAGCATATGAATGGCAGCAAATCCCTGTGCAGGACGTTGGGACTTATGGAGGAAAGTCTCCCAGTAGATTAACTGTTCACGCTGGGAGATTTAGGAGAAGTCATGGGTTGAGGTGTCAGGTAGTCACATCTATTTGTTTTGTACATGTATATGCCAAGGAGCTTTGTAACAAGGCATCTTAAATAATGAAATTTTTTCATTTGAAATATTTTAAAATGAAAACTGTATTTCAATCTTAGTTTCTAAAATTAAAAAAAAAATTATGATACTGATCCATATATATATATTTTTTTCTTTTTGAAAGATGTCATTGGGACTGCTGGGTAACTTTCAGGTGAGGGTCTTGTACAAATATTGAAATGCATGAGATCTAATGATTTAGAACTAATTCATCTTTGAGTTGAACTTATTGTTGAAAGGGATTTTTGAAGGGCAGAATATTTGCTGTATGATGAATCTTTCCTTCTCTGCCTTCTGAGCACCACCTTTAATTTCCATATCTTCAAGTCTTGAAGAAGTTGATGTTAACTGAAGTATTCACTTGTCTGGTTGAAATAAAGCCTGTTTCTGTTGTGATGTTTTTAGTGTATATGTTATTTTCATTTCTTAATCTTCATGTTCATATTATCTGCTTTTGTTTCATGAAATGAATGTGTGTTGTATTTTTGCTAGTCTACGTTTCATAATTTGAAGCTTTCACATAAGTGTGATAAGGTCCAAAACACTGTGTCTTCAATTGAAGCTGTAGCCCTATGCAGGGATTTTTTTTTAATAGCTTTCTGGAATACAACTAATTCTTATTGTCAAAATATCACTACTATATTTGGTAGTTCCAAAAGAGTTTCAAAATTTGGTCATCATAAATACATTTATCAACTTCTACCTAGCTTAAAAAAATTCAAGCAACTAAGATGTTCTTGAAATAGATAAGTGTAAAAATCTACATATTATCTATGTTAGTGCCTTTTTTGATTATTGTCTTCTCCCATTCCTACCCTTATCTGTCAGGGAATAGCAGACCTTGGATCACGGTTCTGCAAAAGAAATCAGGGCAAGTTAGTGTGACTGTATAATTTTTTAATTATCTGGAATCGCTTGATCTCTCAATACAAATGTTTGAAACATTGGTTTAACTGAAGGAATAAATTATTCCATTATACAAATATGAGTTAAATGTTGGCTACATATAGCCAGTCTTTTTTTTTTACCATGAAGAACTTATAATCTGAGAATTTTTACATTCACTTGAACTCCAGAAATTTTCCTTTGGTTCAACGTCACGAAGAAACTTGGCAAGACTCAAGAATTTTTATCTTGAACTATGTGAACTCAGGATGGTCAGTAGTCCAGAGCGTGGCTTTGATGGTGAGGAAGCTTCAGTTTGGGTCCAGCTCAGCCATTGACTGGCTGTGCCGATAAGTTGCTAACCCTCCCTCCAAACCCTAGTTTCCTCACTTATAAAATGGGGCAAATAGTAGTTTTTACCTCCATATTTAAAGAGCTTAGCACAAGGGCTGACACATAGTAACTGCTTCATTAACGTTACCTATAGTGAAGAAAACAGATGTTTTAAGCAAATGCATTAAATCAGTGATTTCTAACCTTCTGGAATGTAGGGAACCCAATTTGGTGTGGAGACACTTCACAGATCTCCATATGCTAGTACATGTCCACAGCCCGTGTCCACAATTCCAGAATCCCAAACTCTTAAAATTTATCTGGACGACTCACTTGACAGAAAAGGCTGACTTGAGCATAATTTATCACAGTTTGTAGGACTCTTCACATGTTTTGTTGCAAAGCTATTTATATGTTTGACTACAGGGTGCTGCTCAAGACCCTACTAGGAGTGTTAAGTAGTGAATAATTCTCAGTTTTGAAACACATCTGATCCCAAGAGTTTCAGCTAAAGGGCTTGTAGAAATACAGTTGTAGTCTTCAGCTTACGTAGTATACATGGAGTCAGAGTCCCTTTCTTGGGAACCATTGTAAAGGGTAGTTTATACTTGACATCATTCAGTCGTATAAGGAATATTAAGAAGTTACTTTGTGCCGGGAAGGAGCTGGGCAACCCCTGCTGTCCAGTGGAGGGAGAAAGAAGTCTCAAACCAACATGTAGCAAAGTGTCACCAGTGTCATTCATTCATTCACAAGTATTTACAGCAGTGAATGAAACAAAGACCCATCCTCGCAGAGCTTACATTCTAGAAGGGAAGACAGGTAACTTACTAAATATATAATGTTAGATCAGTACTACAGAGAGAAAGTAAGGTAGGGTAAAGGGCTAGAGGGGGGTAAGTACTATTTAGAAAATGAGAAGACGAGAAACTTCTTTGGTTAGAGTGGTCAAAGCTAACCTCTCCAAGGAGGGGACATTTGAGCAGAGTCACATGAAGTTGGGAATGTACCATGTAAATACCTGGGAGAAAATTTTTTACTCCTGGCAAATGAGAATGGAGGTTTCGAAGGACTGCAAGGAGGCCAGTGTGCCTGGAGTAAACAATGTGAAGAGTGGTGGGACATGCAGTCTTAGGAGAAGCTGTGGGCCAGGTGCTAAAGTCTGTGAGAGCAGAGGGCTGTTCTGGAAGGAGGGATTGGTCACTTCTCCTGGAGGAAGCTGCCACAAAAATTTTCAGAGTCTAAACCAACAAGTAGAGACCAACAAGTAGGACCAGGAGGGGAGGGCTTCCCAAGCAGCGAGAGCAGGGTGAGAGAAGCATTTAGAGAAGAAACAGCCTGGCTTATTCAGGGAACTGGAAGCTGTTTCCTTCAGTGGGAGCATAGTGAGAGAGAGAGAGAAGCAAGATACTGGGAGAGAGGAAATCAGCCAGATTCTGGAAGGACTCATGTTCCATGCTCAAGATTCCAGTCTTTTCTGTAGTCAGTGTGGAGCCATTGAAGAGTTTCAAGTAAATTGAGACTAGAATTAATCTGGTTTTAGTGATAATAGAGCAAAATGTCCTATTGAGGTAAATGAGTAAACCAGTTATTGTGCTTTTGAATACATAAAACCATGCCAATATCATGTTTATTTCCTCTATTGTGCCAAACCTTATGCAGTAGACCACATTTCTCTGTAACCAAGATGGTTATATAAACTCTTGAGAATTTTCCCACAGGACAAAGGCTACTAATATATCCAACTCTACTATGATTCTATTCAGCGAGTAGGGAAGGTTCAACACCAGTGATCACCATAAACTCCATTACCCGTGAGAATTGTTTGGAGAGAAGGCTCTGTTCCTCCAAGGGATCAGAAGATGACCCCAAATTTGTGAGGAAGATTTAATTGATGCACGTTTTCTACTGGATCTAGTAGGTGTTCATTCATTCACTCTTTATTTAATTTTGACTGAATGCCTGTAATCTGGGAGGCATTGGATAACATTAAGGATACATTCGGTTGTGAATAGGACAGTAAGGTTCCTGCTTTCAGTGGGCTCACATTCTGGTGAGGGAGATAGACTTTAAGCACATAAACCAATAAATAAGGAAATATCAGATAGCAATAAATGCTATGAAGGAATGAAACAGAGAGATGTGATAGGAAGGAGAAGCACTTCCTTAGTCATATGGGCATGAGACACAAATATGAATAAGTTATGGCCTCGGCTTTCGAGGAATGACAGTCAAGTTCCTCTTGCTTTCCTTCATTACCACCTCCTCCATGAAAATGAAAGATGTTTCAGGGAAACAGTTTGCTAACTAATTCGTTTTCTTTTTATTTTACTTAGAATATTTAACTTAGTTCACATATGTATTCAAAATCACATATTACATGAAATAATATATTAATTTAGTAATGCACCTTTTTTACTACTCACTCATTTCATGAAATAATATTATTTGAACTGTTCATTTGAATCCTCATTGTCAATGCCTTCATCTTGACCAGTCATTTAGTATTTTCCAGAGCACACCAAGTTTGACACACAGCAGTTTTGAATCTATGTATGATATTGACACTGAATTCTTTTTAATCAAGCCACAAGCATCTACTCCCATAATGAGCTCGATTGTTTGTTTCATTTTCCAAAAGGTGTATATTGGTGATGCCACAGTGCAATCATTTGTTTTATGTAGAGCCTTTTTTAAAAAGACTACTTTACAAGTATTCATCACTTACAATACAAAAATAAAAGAAAATTTGTATTAAAACTCTTTGCCTCTTTTTATACTCACCCTATCAGGTAAACACTAAACATTCCAAACTAAAATTAATGGAGGTTTTTTCAGTTAATGTTGTCAAACAATTTTCAACCAGTCCCCAGTGAGAATTCATCTTTTTTTTAAGTATTTTTTAAATTTCAACGAGTTTTACATGCACAATCTAAAAAGTCAAATAGTTCCACAAGACTGAAAAATAGCAGTACCTGCGTTTTCTTTTCTTCCTTGTTTTATTTCACCATTTTGAGCATAGCAGCTTCCCAGAAAAGCGTAGGGTGATGAGGGGAAATTTTTTTGAGTATTTACATGTCTAAAAATTTCTAAAAATATTTTTACTCTACCCTCATACCTAATTGAGAGTTTGGCAAGGTATAGAATTTTAGGTTAGATATTATTTTTCTTCAGAATTCTGAAGGCATAGCCCCAGCCAAGCTTCCAGTGTTGTTGTGAGAAAGCCTGATGCTGTTCTAGCTCCTGATCTTTGTATATGACTATTTTCTCCTCTCTTTTCTGGAAGTTTTTAGAAACTTTTCAACCTCCAGTTTCAGCTCCAGCAGGTAAAGAGCTTGTGATTCATCACTCCCATCCTTACAACAAGAAAAAAGCAGAACAATCTGAAAAACAATGACTTTTCTCAGAGAATTGAGGTCATAGGGTAAACCGCCACCCTAAAATCTGAGAGACAGACAAATACAGAAAATCACAGCTGAAATCAATTTACCTACCTACCATCCATAAACTGGTAGGAACACTTAAATGGTAATTTTGATGACTTGGTGGAGGCTGAGTGTGAACTTGCATTAGATTGAGAAATTCCTGGGGTTCACAGTCTTAGGGATGTCTCCACACATTCACGGGTTGTACCTCCAGGAACCCTACCAGATTCTCATAGTGAGGAGCCAAGAAAAGTTCACTTGTGTCTCTGGCAGAGGGAAAGGAAAAGTAACCATTTTGAAATACATGGAGAGTGTTCTCCATGACAAAGGGCTGCTTTCCAGGGAAGAGATTTTTTTCAGAGACTTATCTTACCTCAAGGAGAAGGGCAGTTACATAACTTCAGGCTTATCTTGCCTTCCTATTTCATTAAGGAGGGAGGAGGTGGCTCGGAAGGGGAAGGAGTAAATGAGATTGCCAGGAGACACTTGTGAAGATCACAGCCCAAGAATACAGGCCCACTAAAAACTGAGATTTTGTCATAAGATGATGGAATGCTTACCCTTCTCACATCTTACCACCACCTCCACAGGGCTCCCATATAATTACAGTTGAAATAGCTGCAAGATGCAGACTCTATTTAAAAAGAAGTTATTAGGGAGACACAAAAACAACAGAGGAGTTAAAAACAAGGACACTAGAGGAATTTGAAGCCTCTGGCACCTATAGCTACAGCAAATATTAAACACAGCCTAACT